CCAAAATATAAGATTTATCCATACACATTGTGCAGGGTGAGAGAAGTTTAATTCCAAGGAAGAAAGAAGAGAGCAGATTACCAAAATGTATGAATAATCTCTGCAAGTATAGACCAAGAGTGATACAGGTGAACCTGGATGAACAAGTCATAGAGACCATCTCTATTTTTACTTCCCCCCCGGCACTCTCCAGTACGACATGGTGTGGAATTTACTTGTTTTTCTCTGTTGCTTATTTACCCCCAGAAAAGCCTCTTCTCACTTCAGCTTAATCACAGCATTTCTGCATGATTGAGGGCTTTCATTTTGTTGTATTACTTTTGGAAGGACAGGCCACATACCCTACTGTAAGACATGGCCCTGTACATGTTTACTGTGGTTTCTCAGACCAGCTGTGTCCCACTCACTGTGACTGCAAACCAGCAGTGATATGAGAAAGAGGACTGTAGGGAGGTGTGGACAAACCAAGCCAATGGTGGTTCTGATGTGTATGGCTGGGTTAAGCAGTGCTGTTACAAAAGCTTTCCTCCTTTCCTTAATGGCTAAGGAAGCCATCGTTTCCCCATTTAGATGGAGAATCACATGTTCTGCATGGATGCTTCATGAAAAGGCAGTTGAATGGATTAGATAAGAGTATGAACTGCTGGACAGAGAAATGAATAAAAGGCATTTCATCTTCTCCATTAATTTACCATTTCACTTTTGAGAAAAGATAGGCTGCTTTATCAAGAAATGACAGCAGAGCCCGTAATTACTGAGGATGAAGTGATTCTGAGACAGACAGTTATGTCTTGGGGAACAGTCAGCTGTCCCAAACCTCCTTACATCTTCTGCTGTTTGTTGTCTGGAGCAAACTGGTTTTTTTTTGGGTTTGTTTTTTTTTTTTTTTTTAATCTAATTGGACATTCACCTTTATTTTCTTTCAGACCTTTCTGTGATAATAACCATGAAACTTCCTGGGTCTGTCTCCTTTGAAGTCTCTAAGAATTCCCTACCATTACCATGGAAGATTGCTCTCCAAATGGAAAACAGAAGGGTATTGCTAGGTTTTCACTACAGTACAATCTTCTGCAAGTGGTAGTTTCTTTGGTGAATGGCTAATATTGCTCTAGCACGTTTATACAATTATGTTATTGTATGTAATGGTTCTCGTTTTCTTTGGGTTATTATAGATGTCTGTCCATCAAAAGGAACCTGATTCTGCAAGTGCTGAAAAGCCTACACCCCCAGAACTTCAACAGAGACTTGAGGTGTTCACTATTTGCCGCAGGGGTAGAGCCTGCTTTCCCAGAATTTCTCTTTCTTAGAGAAGGTAGGATTTTCAGATGACTGTAACTATACGTTCAATATACTGTTTAAGAGGTACCTACCATCTGTAGATAGCCCAGTCTGCTGGAATCATACCCTGAAGAATGAACTAAAACCAGCACTCTCTCCCGCTTTCTTTTTGTGTGTTTGCATGGGAAGCCTAAATAGTCAATATTTCTCATCTTCTGCGAAACTGACCTTCTGTTTGGCTTATCACCTGCCACATTCTCCCACCTGGTACTGATTCTGATGGAGATGCCAAAATTACATGACTGCTACCTTTTTGTTAAAGATCTTCTCAACTTAAATGCTTAGAACATCCTTAGATAATCAGCAGATGAGAGACAATTATGTTGCTTAATTCAGAAACACAAAGAAGTAATTGTATCAACTCCCACATGGTAGAGAGCACAGCAAAGTTCAACTTCTCATGTACTGTTCAATATACAACCTTAGTGCTCAGAAGAATTAATTGGTAAGAGTCGTGCTTCTAGGAAATCTAGATATTGTATTTGTGCTAGTTGAAGTTTTTGTGAGCCTTGACTTCCATTATGTTATCCAAAAGTTCCCTGATGTGAGAATCAAGATACCAGGAAAAAATAATTAACATTTGTCTTTCTTCTGCAAACTTCAGTGCAGAAAGTAGCAGATGGCTTGAGGGGGTCTATCCCATTTCACGTTGAGACGGGAAAGATGCTGTCTCTGGCTTAGAGTTGCCAGCTTCAGGCAAGCTCAGCCATTGACGGCTTGAGCCCTGATCCTCCCTGAAGCCTAACACCCATAAACACCATTTTGCCAGCTGAGCTCACAGTAGCCTCAGCAACTGAGACAGGCAGAGCTCAGAAATGTGTTTCAATCCTTTAATGAGCTTGATACACTATTGGAAAAAAAACCCTTGCTAGTAGGCTCAAACCATTATTATAACAGCTACTACAAAGAATACAGGTTTCTTTACACTAACGTAGAATCTGTCCAATCAAAAAAGATGCTCCTGCTTTTAATCTAAAGTGAATAATTCATGTTTTATCTTAAGGAATTAAAAGAATATATACCATTATCTGCTTTGATCTATGTAAGTAATATACATTTTGAGCAGATGTGCAGCAAAAAATAAAGGGAGTCTTTATTTCTCTAGTTCTACTTTTTTAATTTTTATGACTGTATTTAAAATGTCAACATTTCTGATATCAGTAAATCTAATTGTAAAGTAACAAAGTGGAGATACATTAAGATGTAAGTGAATGCTACCTGGGAGGAAGGATTAGGTCGAAGGTCTGATCTATCTGAACAGCAACTGTTGTATGGTTGTCATCCAGTATCACAGTATCACTTTATCGGCACTCTGTTTGGATGCATCTAGACTTCAGAATATCCAAGACATGCATCTTTCTTATAAAAAGCTGAAAAGAAGTTAGGAATCATGCAGTGATTGCTAACTGGGCTCTGATTCTGCCTCTGGGATGTTGATGCTTGGGGTAGATGGAACCCAGCTATGTTTTTCTAGGTGTGTATGGCAACCTGCTGATTGCTGTCTCACCAGAATAAACTGTAAACCTTTCCAGCTGTTCTTAATCTGGACCCTTAACCTTTAAAAAAACCAGAGGCTTTCCATTCCTCAGAGCCAAACTTTGCTAACAATATCTAGGTTGTTTTCAAACCAACCTTCAAGCATAAAAATGACTAATAAATCCATACTCCATAACAGTTAGGCTGGAGAACTATTAAAGAACATACTCAGTTTTTACGACCCATTTCTAGTAAAAATCCCAAACATGCTTCACTAATGCTACCATTTCAGATACTCAAATCCTGGATGATAGGCATGATATCCAGATAGATTCACCAATAAATATGTAAAGGCTATAAATCTGTCTCAAATTAGCGGTTTGGGGATGTGCGAGGGGGAAGAAGGCTGGGAAATTCGGTTTTCTAATCGGTTCGTTTCCCAACTCTGAAATGTTCTGCAACTTCGCAGCTGGTGATTGCATTATTCTGTGGTTTGTAGCATTATGCGAGTACGTTACTCCGCGCCCTTTGGTGGGACCTGGGGCTTTGAGAACAAGGCCCTCATCTTACACGGGTTTTTAGCCAGCGCCTGATTCCACCCGCGCAGTTTTCGGCAGCCCGGGGGTCCGGGCCGGCCCCCACACGTCGCCGGGCCCCGGCGGAGGAGCCCTCGGGCGTGGGGAGCGGGGGGAGGCCCGGGGGCAGGGAGTGGGGTGCCGGGGGGAGCCACAGCCTAGGAACTCGTACCGCTTCCGAGGACCGTACCCCGCTGGCTTCGGGATTTCAGTTCGGGCTTCCCACGAAAGCAACAACAAAAACAGTCATCATCATTCACCAACATCCATCTTTCTGACTTTTTTACGGCCTCGTAATTGCCCCCTCCGTGACAGGCGGATTTATGCCTCGGCCGCCAGCGCCCGGTGGCGGGGAGCTCCGCCGCCCGGGTGGCACCGCCGGCTCCTGCGGGGCGGCAGCGGGGGGGGCCCCCTCGGTGCGGGGTGCGGAGTCTCCGCCGGGCCGGGCCGGTGCAGCCCTTCCCCGCCAGTCGGGCCGGCCGGCCTGAACACGGCAAACCGCCCGGTGCCCGGCAGCCTCCTGCTTCGTTATCGCCTCCAACACCCACCCCCCCCTCCGCTGCTCATTTTTGGTTTGTTGTTCTGTTCGGGTCGGGGCTTGCTTCTGGGCTGCCGACAGCCTCCTCTCCCGGCTAGAGGGGAGCTCTCATCACTTGATTTTTCCCTGCAAAACTCAAGGGCTATCCCAGCTCCGCTCAGGAGGGAAACGCTTTCCTTCTCTCTCTTCCTCATTTTCTCTTCCCCTCTTCCCAAACAACCTCTCTTCAAGTCCCTCCCGCGGATCTCTCTCTCGCCTTCCCGGCAGGACTTTGTAACTTCTGCCCCCGGCTCCGCTCGCCTTTTATTTGCGATTTTTTTTTTTTTTCCCTGTGCTTTTTTTTTTTTTTTTTTTTTTTTTTTTCTTTTTTTTGTCCTCATTTCTCCTTTCCCGCGGTTCACAGCGGCCGGCAGGCTCCTCCGCGACCATGGCCGGGACAGCCGCGGTCCAGGAGCGGACCCTCCGGCGGGCAGTGCCGCCCCCTCCCGCCCTGCCTCAGCCGGGAGGGAAACGATGGCCTAGAAATTAAGCAGCACTTCTGAGGTGGTACATCTGCCTCTCCCCCGCTCCCTTCCCCCTCCCCTCCTTCTCTTAGGACTTCGCGTTTCTCCCTCTCCAGTACTTTTAAGAAAAAAAAAAAAAAAATATATATATATATATATATTTACTGCCCCCTCCCTCCTCTCCAAGCCCAAGGTGGTCGCGGAGGAGGTGAGGCGCTCCCCAGCCTTTCATGCGTGGCGGTGGGCGCCCGGGGAGGCGGCGAGCGGGGGGCGAGCTCCGCAGGAAATGCCGGCGCTGCGACGGGGAGCGCCCCCGGCCCGCCGCCGCCGCCGCCCGCCGCTGACCGCCGCCGGGGGGGTCGCCCCCGGCCCCTGCCCGGCCGGGAAGAAGCCCCGGGGCGGGGGCCCGCGCTGCCGGGGGGTGCGCAGGGAGGCCCGTCGAGGCCATGGCCGGCGGTGAGACGCGCAGCCCGGGCTGCAGCGGGCGCTGCCCGGCGGCGGGGCGGCAGCCCGGCACCCCGCGGGGCGGCGGCGGGGCGGCGGAGGAAGGCGGCGGAGGAGGCGGCGGCGGGGGGGGGGCGGCCTCCCGGGCCGTGCTGCCGCCGCCGCGGGAGACCTGGCGCCGCCGGAAACTTTCCCCGGCGCTGTGCGCCGGTTCCCTCTCCGTGCTGCTGGCCCTGGCGGTGCGGCTGGTGCGGGGGGAGCGCGGCCGGGAGCTGGCGGCGGAGGGCGGCGCGGGGCCGCGGGGTTGGGGCTGGCTGCCCCCCGGCGCCGTGCCCCTGGGCCTGGCCGGAGCCTTCTTCGGTGCGGGCCGGTACCTGCGGCGCGGCGGCGTGCGGCCGCGGGCGGCGGCGCTGCTGCTGGCCGCCTGCTGCGGGGGGGAAGCGGTGGCGCAGACGGCGCTGGCGGCGGGGGAGGATCACTTGCTCTCCCTCGCCGCCACGGGGGTGGTGCTGAGCTGCCTGGCCGCCGTGACATGGCTGGTGCTGAAGCTGAGGCAGGGCGTCCTCATGCTCGCCGTGACTAGCGCGGCCAGGACCACGTCCCTCGTCGCCTTGGAGAGGGTCCCGGCGTCCTGGCGGCCCTACCTGGCCTACCTGCTGGGGCTGCTGGGCATCCTCCTGGCCGGCTACGCTGACCGGCTCTGGCCCCTGCGGCGGGCCGCCCCGCTGGCGGAGCCTCCCGCCGCCCCCCCGGCCGCGGACGAAGCCCCGGTGCTCAGGCGGCGGCGGCGGTCCAGCTCCATGATCTCCCCCGAGATGTCGGGCGGCGGCGGCTGCGGCAGCAAGACCCACCGGCGGACCTCGCTGCCCTGCATCCCCCGGGAGCAGGTAGGGCAGGGGCTGGGGCGGGGGGGACGGGGGACGGGTCCCAAACTTTGCTGGCGGCGAGTGTGGGGGGGTCCCTCCCCCCACCCCCCGGTGCAGGCGCCGAGCACGCTGCCGGCTTTCCCCGGAGCCCCGGGACGGGGCTGGGGGGAAGCGGGGGCTCGCCGGACCCAGCCTGACTTGCCCGGGCGACCGGGGAGGGAGCTCGGAGTTTTCTTTTCTTTTACAGCCATCACCGGCGCTTGCTTTTCTTAAGCCTGGCAGACGGGTGAGGCGGACGGTACCCGCTTGGCTCTCGAAGCCGGTGGGAACCTGCCCTCGGGTTTCCCAGCATCACTTACGAGCCTTGCTTTTTCAAACCTGCAGTTTCCTGGAAAGGTAGTTTAGCCCTATTCAACTTGCTTGAGGCTTTAAAGGGGTGTGTGTGTGAGCCCAAGCAGCTTGCCCTCGGTGGGAGAAGTCCCTTATCAGGGCGATAGCGTGTCCTCTGAGGCTGGCCTGCACAGCACGGTGCTCATCTTTGCACTTTGCCTCCCCAAGGCTGCTCCTGTGCGTGTGATCAATAGCTCCCGCTCCGCTGTGATTGCGGGAACTGGTACGGGGCACACGCGATTTATCTCAACTTTGTTTCCTTTAAGATGTGATTTGAATGGATGAGTGAAAACTTACTCTGCCAGCGATGCGTTCTTTAAAATGCACACCTCAATAAAAGGGGAAAAAAAAAAAATAAGCACCATTATCTTTACTGCACAGCTGTATAGAGTTCTACCACGGACACGAGGTCAGCTTGGTTCTGTGCTCAGTGTTTTCTCAATTTTTCTTGAGATTTCAGATTTCCCTGAAAAAGAATCGTCCGATGAGTCGAGTGTAACTGAGCAAAGTCAGCGCAACTCTCTCTCGAGCGGTGGAAAGGGGAACCTGGGGGAAAATAAGTGGCAAATGGTGTTAAGCTTTCTTTTTCAATTAGTATTGAAAATCACACCATGCACTGTGGTCAACCGAAGAGATTTGCAGTACACCAAAGGTTTTCTTTCAGGTTGCTTGCTGGATAAGCAGCTAAGTATTTTCCAAGTGATGGCATCGAACCATATGGTGTGGGTGGCTAGTTTGTTTCTGGAAATGCTTTGATTACATCCCTTTGTGGTTGGTTGTGACATTTTCTAGAAGAGGGCCTGACAACCTTATACACTTGAGGCTTATTTTACAACAAATGTACTTATTTATTTAACATTTTTGTTTAGATAAAATAAATATTTACCACAGTGTCCAGGCGAATGTGGTGTGAAAAAGTAGAAAGCTGACCCAGTTCTGACTTTAGTAGGAACTGAGAGAAGGGTGTAAGAATAATTTGTAAACACAGTATCTAAGTCAAGAAATTAAAACTGTTTATACTTACTTGATGACACTATACGTTTCTGGTGGTTTCTTACAATAACAATTTTTAAGGTTTTAAACGTATTTCCACTCACTCTTGCACTTCAAATAAAAGCAGCTTTTTGGTTAAGATCTCTAAAGGCAGTCGTTCGGAGATAAGACTGACTAGTTTGTGATCACATCCTTCTCTTTTCTGATGGAGGGAATTCAAACCATCTATATGTACAAGGATGTTAAACTGATGATGGATAACAAGGTAGATTCCTTCCTTCCTTCCCCTACCCCGCAGTGATGTGTTACTTGGGGACAGTGGTCAGCTTTGCCCCGAGCAATCTCCACTTCCAAGCTGCAGAGCTGGACCGGAGTTAGTTGGTGACTGTTCACTTTACCTGCTGCAGTATTTTGGCAAATTTCTCTTTCTTTTGTTCTCACTCACTATTAATCAATAGCGAGATCTGGTTTTGCTTGCGTCACTGTGTGATTAGAAATGGATGACTACTTTTGAGTTTGGGGAGACTTTTTATCTTTTTTTTTTTTGAAAAAAACACAATGTGGCTGTGTACATGTGAACTTCCCTCCCTAAAAATCTGTCGTCTTAAATAAATGTTAGCAAGATAGGAAAATGGAAAAGCTTAAACAAAGCTCTCTAAGGACCTTGAAGAAACTCTGGGAGAAGTGGGACTCTCGTACAGCAAAGTTTGTGTTTATAGCAAAAATCAGCTCTCCATAGACTTAAAGAAACCATAGGTAAATGTTTCCCTTTTGGATAGTTTTTAAATATAACATGTTAAAAATAGAGATGTGGGCTTTATAAACAAAACCAGGCCTCCCTTCACCCCTTGTTTTTAAAAAACATGCCCTGAATGTTTCTGGTCCAAAAGATAGCTTGTTAATACGTCTGGGAGCCACCAATAATTTTTCATCAGGAAATGTATCTACTTTATTGCTTTGAAATACATGCTTATTGGGTGAGTAACATTAGGTGAAGTTTTAGAGATGTTTTCCATCGCCTCTCACGTAATCTTTCCTATTGCTGAGCACTGAATTAAGCTTTTACTTTTCCAGAGTGTGATTCCCTCCCTCTCTGACTGTTTGTGATATGAAATTCTACAAAAGTCGGAGTTTCTGAATTTTTATTCTTTTTACTCACACACATCTCAGTTGTTATCTGAATTTTTCTCTAGTAGAATATAGAAATGAATCTATGCAGCCTTGTGATATAAAGCACAGTACCAGGAGTTGCAAACTAACATCACAGGTAGAGGTATTAGTGTATTTAAAATTAAAAGTATGCTTCTGTTTAAGCTGATAGTGGGAGTAGGTGGAAATGCATATGTCACTAAGTTATTCCTTCTGTAGAAACATCTCATCTCAGTTCTCAAAGAATTGAATAACTGTTTCATTAAAAAAAAAAAAAATAATCCAAATCCAAGTCACTTTCTTTCATTGCTAAAAGTGGTCTTTACTAGTTTTTAATTCAATTCTCTTTTTTTGTGGTTGATTTTTGTATATGCTCTCTCTCAACATCAGCAAATTCTTTGGATTAAAAGCTTCCAGTTTGGCATGTGTGTAGATCTCGTTGAGAAATGCGTACTTTCTAATAACCTGATCTTGCTCCCAGCTGAGTGTTGTCTCTCTGTGATTTCATCAATGCCGGCTGAGGATGCTCAGCTCCTTGAGGGCTCACTCACCCAGATTTGAAAGAGGCTACAGAGAGAAATTGTGAATGGATGGATAAGACAGCAAATGAATGAACAAATGCCTTTTTTTTTTATTTTGCATGATGAATTCACAGGTACTGCCGGGATGATAGCTTTTGTAGTTTCCTCTTCACATTTTTGTAAACATTTTAACTTTTCCGAAAAGTGTGGAGAGGAGGTTGGGGGGGAGGAGGGACAGAAATCTGTTCTATGTCTTGGTGTTTCCTATTAAAATATGATATGACCCATGTGTTCTGGAACTTGTGCCTCTGATCTGTGTGTGTTAATCTTGACATACAGCAGTCCAAAGGGATGATTTCGCTTTGGTGGGTAAAATACTCCACAGGAGATAGTAGCTGGACAATTTTAAGCCATGCCAAAGACTCCTGGTTCTGCTTTTAAGCCTTGCTTGTTGTTTGTTTTTGTTTGGGGGAAAGGGAAGCTTTCAGCTAACTTGGATTTATTACAAGTGTGTGTTAAATGAGCTAGAGCAGCTGCTGCGAGCAGTTCCATTTGCTTTGCCTTTTTAGATTTCTTTTTCCCTTAGTCAGAAGACTGTCACAGGTACAGCAGACACCAGGGTTCGAAGCACTTTCTGGTTCCCAAACCAGTGGGTGACACAGCCCCGTATGGGAAGGCAGTAGCGAGGTGCTGAGTCTCGCCCTGCTGAAAAGCCTTGTGCCGTGCAGGAGGTAGCACCAGGATGGAGGAGTTTCTCCTGCAGCTCCTGACGTCTCTCTCCGGCTTGCCATGCCAGCAGCTCCATGTGCAAACTCTCGTCCGTGTCCTCTGGCTCCTGGGGCAGAGAAGTTTTCTACCCATTTTTCTTCCTCCTTTCTCCTTTTTGTTTTCTGCCTTCTGAGCAGGTGGGGAAGTAGAAAGCTGCTTGCCTTACCTGAGGGGGCAGTTGAGGATCTGTCACTTAATTTTTAATTGATTTGAGTCTTGGTAGCTGTTTTGTGCTGCTACATCTTTCCCTGCCTGCTTCCCCTTTTAAAAAGTTATTTTTCCAGAGAAGTAACTTTGGTGCCGGACTCTTCTGTCTTCCTCCAGTGTCAGCGGAGGGTTTTTTGCTGGATGTGACCATTTTTTGCAGGGTTCTGGATGGTGACTCTGTCTGTTCCCAGTCTGTAGCCTGGGAAAGTTGTGAGCTGGGACCGTTGTTATCGCTGCCTGTCTGCAGAGTTGAGAAGACAATACTGTAACAGTTCACATGGTCAAAGATATCTCTTCAGCGATAAGATCTAAGAAACTGAGGAGAAAAAGAAATGTATTTGTTGGGTTTTTTTCAAGGGAAAATTAAGGCTTTATCTGTTCTTCTCATTGTTTGACAGTGAGAGCTTTGTAAGTGCCAGGAGTAGGTTGTTTCCCCTCTTTCCTGGTGCTCTATCATGCTGTCATAAAAAAAGGACAGATGTACCCTTATCTTACAACCAATTTTTAATAGTGTGTGTCCTGCTCTCGGGCCTGAAAATAGGAGAGATCTGAGTGCAGCATACAGAGGTTTAAATTTTTGGAGACGAGAAGGCAGATTAAATATTGAACTTCATGTATGTCAATGTTACGGCCTCCTGTTAGGCACACAGTGTTGATAGACTGTATACCTCCTTCTGGTAATAAGCGTTACTGAGCTGTAATTACTCTGATAAGATTTGCTGGCATTACCATTTAGGTCACTAGAAACGGAGGAATGGTGAGGAGTTATGTCATCTGGTGACTTGCTGAAACACAACCGTGTAAAATATTTAAGTAAGGCTCCGGGAAAAATCACCCAGGGATTCCAGACGTAATACTTTATTTTCTTTTGCATGGCTTCATTTATGCAAACCTGCTCTATTTAGGTTTTTCCTTTTTTTTTTTTTTTTTTTTTTTCCCTCCTTCAACCTCACAAAAATTTAAAAACTGCTGCTGAAACTCTCACGGCTGGTT